TGATTAGCCACTTATATATACCTTCTGAAGGTACTGATAAGTCCAGTATTCATCTGACACCATACATAGTTATTAGAGTACTATCAACTATATTCCCTATGCTCTACTTCATATCCCTGTGACTATTTTTATGACTGGCAACTTGTACTCCTTAATAAAAGAGATATTTTTAAAGAAAACCTACCTTATAAAGAATGAATTGCCAATAGGTCTTTGTTATTGAATTTAAAATATTACTAATTGCTAACTAAATTAAATGGCCATAGTTATTGGCAAATTGTTGGTTTAAAACAATAAAACATATAAGACCATACTCTTAGGAGTTACTCTTGAGAAAAGTTTGATCAAAAGAAGTGGAAATAAGAAGAATTTAGCATACTGTGACTTAATTAAACACAACAGATATGTTTTAAAAGCTTGAAAAGGGTGGGACACAACAGAAAAGCCTCTGAGCATGAATCCATGTTGCAAACAAGATCTAACTTGAAGATATTGCCATATCATCTGAATTCCTGAACATGGAGTTTCAGAGACAGAATTTAAATCCAAAAAAGTCTAGTGTAATTTACTGCTCAATCTAACTTGAAAAAGAACAAAATTTCGGAAGCCATCATAAAGAAAATTAATACATGTTAACGAAGCTCTACTTTGAAGTATCTGCCTTTCATCTCAAATTTCTAGAAATTAGCCCCCTCCCCCCAAAAAAAATTAAAGCCAGAAAAACAAGGAAGCATACTGTTGATGGATAAGAAACTATGAGAAACCTCTGGACAAGAGAAAGCAGGGAAATGGGATTAAACAAAAACAGTACAGCTCTAAATGAATACATAGTATGTGTTATTAGATGAAAAAGGCAGGCTCTCAGCTGACCCAAGACTAAAGGGGTGGACTGTAGGACAGAGTAAAGTCCCACGGAGGCCAAGCCACAGGGTCATTAGCCAACACCAGAAAGAATAAACTTTCCACCCTTACCTCCTCACCATAGACACAGAATCCAACAACAGCTGTAGCCACTTCCAAGTAGAAGCAATGAGTATAAACTTGCCAGGAGAAAATCAGTCATGCTAGGAGCTGTGACATGGTAGAGATATGGTGAGCTCCAGTGTGGAAAAAGGCGTCTCAATCATAATGACCAATCACTAGAGATTGCAGAAATTAAAAACCGACTGTTGGAAGAGAAAAATTCAGCAGCTGCAGAAATAGCTGAAGGGTAAAGTAGTGAGGAAACACATTTTTCCCATAATGCAGCACAAAAAGACAAGCAGATGAAAAGTATTACAGAAAGATTGAGAGGTATGAAGGGAGGAGCCAGAAGTGGAAACATTCATCTAAATAAATTAGAAAATTCTTCCAGAACTAAAGACAGGAACACCTGTACTAAAAGGGTATGCTGTATATTGACCAGAATAAATTCTTAAACACAAACACACCTAATTTCATTGTTCTAAAGTTTAAGAATAACATGGATTAGGAGAAACTCTTAAAAGCTTCAGAAGGAAAAGCAGAGGTTACTTATCAAGAAATAAGCATCAGCTTGGCCTCAAGCATCTCGTCAGCAACACTGGAAAACAAGAAAAATCTGCAAAATCCTAAGAAGCTATTATACTCAGGCAATACCACTGGGAAGAAAAAAATACAGGCTGATTTTCCACCAGGCAAGAATGGGACGATTTTATTTTTGAAATTTCTCTGAAAAAAATATTAGAGAAGACATTCCAGCAAAACAAAAAACCACCCCAAGAGGAAATAATAAGATGCAAAGATCAGTGGTACACAAAAAATAGTAAATCTTTTAAAAAATCAAGTAATGCCCTGGTCAGAGAGTTCGGTTGGTTAGTGCATCCTCCTAATACTACAAGGTTGTGGGTTCGATCCCTGATCAGGGCACATATAAGAATCAACCAATGAATGCATAAGTAAGTGTAACAACAAATAGATGTCGATGTCTCTGTCTCTCTCTCTCTCTCTCTCTCTCTCTCTCTCCCTTAATCTCTTTCTCTCCAATCAATAAATAAAAATTTGAAAAAAATAAGTAAATCCTAAAATAAAATCTCAGATGAAACAATTTGAGGAATGGGAGAAAGAAGTAAAGAGAAGTAAAAGTATCTTGTCTTATGAAGGGTTATCTCTAGATACTTACAGAAATATATTTAAATATGTATGGTAAATATCTTATCATTATACATTTACAGAAACATAATTTATAATATTCAAAGAATTAAGAAAAAATAAAACAAATAACACTACCAATGGAAGAAAAAGAAAAAAAAAGGAAAACTAGACAAAGGATATAAATAGGTAGTTCACTGAAGAATAAACACAATGTTCACAAGATACTCAATAGCAATCAGCAAAATGCAAACTAAAAAGCAATTACATACGATGTAGTTTTTAGAGAGACAAAGAATACATTGGCTAATATCAAGATATACTTTTCTGGGATGGCTATAAATCAGTACAACCATTTTTTAAAGTGTAAACCATATGAACCAAAAAAATATGATTCCTACTATGTTCTCTAGAAAAACCTTTGCATCTGTCCATATGCTTATTGAAACATTTTTGTAGCAATGAAAAATGGGAAGCTAAATGTCCATCAATATGGAAGATTTAATGTAAGATTTATTCTGCCACAAATACCAGGCAATGATTTAAAAAATATGATAGATCTATGACTACCAACCTGAAATGGTCACAAACAAGAAAAAGACAAGCTTTATGTATAATATATAGGGAGTTATTTTTACAACAAAATGTATCAACATGATTTGTACAATTATAAATAAGTAAAAAAAAAAACACTTGAAATAACAGAAAAATAAAACAGAAGAACATAAAAGTGGTAAAAAAAAAAATAAGTCTGTCAATTCTCCTTTTATAATGTTGCTTTTTGAAAAGCATTGGTGACAGTGAAATTAATTGTGAATGTTACCATGAGCATAAACAGATCCTACTCAATCAAGCAAGCACATGCTCTCTCTGACGTAGATTCAGTCTCACTCTCATACACAGAATGCATAGACTAATTGTAGGAAACATATAAAAATTATTGAAAATTGACAAATCAATCAGGAAAAATAAGGACCAGGTCACAGCTATGGGTCCCCTTTCACAATCACTATAGCTTGTCAGCCACCCATATAGTGAGTGCATTATCAGAATGCTGTCAAGACAATGAGGCTGAAAATTAAAATCAAAGAAATAGAATGGTTTCAGGCAAGGGCAAAACAGACATCTACGAAGTGCAGTTTGTGAAATCAGAGCAGGAGTTAGATGCTTTCTCTTTTTTCCTCTCAGTGGTTGCTGAACCAATGTGGTCACAACAGCCGTGGGGATTTGGGAGCTGGCCAAGAGGCCAGGTGACTCAACGTTGCATTTCTTGACCCTCTAGGCAATTTCTCTCAGCAGCACAAATTTATGCCAGAACAGAGAACAGTTACCTTCTTATCAGGAAAAGATATATATTAAAAGTGTTTGTTATTTTCACCCTTGGCTAGCAAAGAAAGCTGAGGGAAGTTGGCAAGGGAACCAAGCCCGATTCTCCCATTCTAAAGCCAAACATCTCTAGTTATTACAGAAAAATCTGTGGGAAGGGTAACTGCTATCTTCTAAGCTCCTTCAGGGTCAGAAGTGAACACTTATCTTTCCTTTCATTACATTCTCATTAAAAATAAGCAGCAGTTATATTTTCCTTAAATGAAAACTGATCCCAAACAATAGGGTCCTCTGAAAACAAAGAACCGGATGTTTATGGTCAATATGAAGATTCCTCAGGGCGGTGGAGAACCAGTGCTACCTGGCTTCCTGCTGTGTCACCTCTAGACCAGAAGATCAAATATCATTGTGAACTGTTTAACTGGCTGACTAACTGATTAAAATTTCAACAGAGGAATAATATGAATATGTGAGTATTGTAGAAGTATGTCTCAGAGGCCCTTAGCGGTAAAATCCTAACAGGCACCCTTGGATTCTACTTCCCTATGAACACACTAGTCCTCACAGAGAGCTGTGATTTCATCACACGGTGCCATTTTAAATTCTGAAGGTGTCAATGCTGAGGAGAGGAGTGGGGACAAGGGTAAAGGAAGAGATTTTGAACTTAGACATGGGATAAAGCGCTTGTAAGGGAAAATCTGAGGAGCCCCATCCAGAGACATAGACATCTGGCCTCTGGATTGAACTGCATTTTCTTATGCTTCCAGGACAGTTTATCACCTTGAAATCCTTCCCTCTACACGGCCTGAGGGCCAGCCACGTATATACGGTAGGTCCTCAGGTTACCTCCTGCGATGTGATGTAACGCGATTTTTGCCATAAGTCAGCATCCACCTACATAAGCACCCAGTCACTCACTTGGAGCACATACACAGCAGTAATGATGTGAAACAGTAAAAAAGAAAGAAAGAAAGAAAATTAAAAGAAAGATAACAATTCCTGACCTTTACTTGTGGTAAATAAATAATAAAAAGCATAAAGCACATATGTACATACGTCGAAATGACGGAACTTTTTTTAAAAATAAATACTATAAATGGGAGATGGCGACGTAACCACGAAACAATGTACGTCAAGTCTGACATAACCCGAGGACTGCCTGTATGTGGCCAATGGAGTACTGCACCCTTAGCAGATACTTTTTGGATATATGGATAGATGGATGGATGGATGGATGGATGGATGGATGGATGGATGGGTGGATGGATAGATGAATGGACGGACGAATGAACAAAGAAACAAAGGAATGCAGTATGTGCTTTTTTTTCTCTGTGCACTTTAAAGTCATTCATTCAAAATTAATATTCTACTTGCAAAAAATGTTCAGCAAAGTTGCTCCCAAATGATTTCTCAACACCGCACACAAATGTTGCCCAATTCATTGGAGATATAACAGCATACTGTATAAAATCTGGGTAGTGGTAATCTTCCCAGACTCTCTACCACACCAAGGCAATTAGAATAATTAATAGCAACTAGAACTCATTGACTGAAAAGTGAATTACCACAATTGGGGATCTGCAGGTTCGCCAGGGGAATATTCTTGCTGCTTTCATTTAGGCAGTACAAATCCTGAGTTTCTGGACTGGATTTACTCTCCTGAAGAGTCTTGATCCACATAATATCACAGGAGCATGCGAATGGATTGCCCACCAAGACCCTACATGGAACAAAAATGAAACCCAGTCAGGCTTCTCTTTTTTGATTTTAACTACATTCGTGTTCCTGAAGCACTGCAAAATTATGAATTCTTTCTAATCAGCCATCTTTGAAAGTCATACCTACCTTTAAAACATATTAGTAACTACTTATTATTCGTTAATGCTTACTGAGCTTCTGCTGTGTGCAAACACCACTGTAAAGGCTAAAAGATACAAAGTGATATAAGACCTTTTGGAATAATAGGGAAACAAGATAAGTACAGAAATAGCTGTAATGTAGGAAAAAAAGAGTGTGTCTCATAAAATGGGGGGAAATAAGGTGCTGTAACCATTTTATTACTGTTATTATACAGTTATTAAGAAGATCTTAAGTGAAGATGCCAACAGTAAGTTTTCAGAAATACTACCATACTTATTTCTGGTCAGGCTAGAGATCAAAGTGTTATTTAATAAGCTCAAACTTTAGTGGGGGGGGCGGGCAGAAAAGTGTCATCTTCATTTAAAATGAGACTGTAAATCCAATGCTAGGACTGAAGTGTGAGAGCTAATCGGGTGGTGCTCACAGCTTTCTGCAACCACAGTTCATTTGATTGATGCAAGAAAGGTGGAGTGAATGTGAGAGAGAGAATCTGCAAGGGAGCTCTTGGACCTCTGGCATGCATGTGCGCACGTGCTCACATGGCTACACACACACACACACACACACCAAGCTCAGGAGTTCAGAAAGCAAGGGCAGTGAGCTCCAGATTGAGCCTCTAAGCCCGCTGTGAGAAGATCTGCTGAGAGAAAGCCACCATTCAGCCGTGCTGCCCGGACTCCTGTGGCCTGAGACTGGTGAAGGAGGAAATAGTCAAGAGGAAAATAAAAACCACAAGAAAAAAATCTTTAAATGCTTATTTATAATACTCAGTGGCCTATTTAAGATGAATTCCATTTATGGTAATGAGCCTTTAAATGAGGCCATTTAAAATCGTTACATAGGCTCTGCCTGGAATTAACCACAATACTTAAGATTTCCGTGAGGACCAGACCTGGGCTTTGCAGCATCATTTACTCCTGTGGTTTTCTGGTCGGGTTCTAAGAATCTCAGGGATCCCTGGAGACTTTTCTGGGAATTTCTTTGGGGAAATGTGATCTTGGAAGACTCTTTAATTTGTGTCTGCTTGATGGCCTCCAAGTATCCCTCCAACACCAAAATAAGATTTGGCGCGACTAGATATGGAATACAATGCAGAGGAGATCCGCAATGTTTAAGCCCCACTAATTCAAGCTATTTCCTGGCAGTCTGAGTACATGAAAAACTAAAGAATCATTCTATTTTTTTTTACATATATTTTATTGATTTTTTACAGAGAGGAAGGGAGAGAGATAGAGAGTTAGAAACATCAATGAGAGAGAAACATCAATCAGATGCCTCCTGCACACCTCCCACTGGGGATGTGCCCACAACCAAGGTACACGTCCTTGACCAGAATCGAACCTGGGACCTCTCAGTCTGCAGGCCGACGCTCTATCCACTGAGCCAAACTGGTTTCGGCTAAAGAATCATTCTAAAAAGAAAGTCTGGTTGAATCATCAGAGGGGATAAAGAAGCCAGGGGTTCTTCAGTTATACATATAACGATATTCCTCTGACCACATAATGCTGGTGGACAACTGGCTTCTTCCTCTAGCTCATTGTGCAAACTCTTTTTGAAGTGATTATTATTACATGTGCTTGTTATACTTCTACCTCTCCCACCACATAGCAGAATCCTGGACCACAGAGATCTTCTATCGCTATGGCCTATTACCATGTTACTTTGATGTGTAACAGGTACACAATTACCATTTGTTGAGTGAATTCATTAAATATGTTGCAGGGAGAATATTGAGACATGCGAATTTGGAATCAGAACTCTAATTTTTAACCAAGCAAGAAAATTTTCTGCAGTGATGCTTAAAATTTTTACAGAATATCTTATTCTATTTTGTGTATCTTCCTTAAGTTTTTAATTTGTCTACTCCTGTGTTAGAAACCTAGTACTTCAACTACCTGAATTCAGTTTATTTAAAATCACTGCCAATCACTAAGACTTTCATCATGTAACCCTCATTGCTACCAATAAGCTTGCTGTCGCTCCACCAGTGACATCTTCTAATCTGCCCAATTTCCTTGTGAATGGGGTAGGCCCTACAACTCAGGCCACATACAGTTTAAGCAAAAGCTTTGCCTGGTATTCAAAGGCCTTGTCCATTTTGGCCCACGTTTGCTACACAGAACCTCTGTTGCAGGGTTCTTTAGGCACCTTTAACCATAGGAATGTCAACAATTTACATCTGCTTCATGGTGATAACACAAAAATTGAACACACTTGGAAATTCTGGCTATTAGTCATCAACACATTTAAATATTTTCCCTCCATTACAAAATAAATCATTTATGTAAAAACATTTAAACTTATCATAAACAATATATTACTATTGTGGTTTCTAATTTTTATTACTCAATCCTGTCTTCTTAAGGGGGAAAAAAAACAAGTAACTAAGACCTGAGAAATCATTTTTCAAGAATTTTGACATAAAAATAGATCTGCAGCATCACTCATTTAAAAAAATACTTAATTGCCCTTTTCCTTGAAAAAAACACAAAATCATTACTTACAGCTCAGACAAGTCAAGGTGACGGAAATGTTTCCTAGACAAACTCGTCAGTTTATTTCGAGTAAAATTGCTGAAAGGAATAAAAAAGATTAAATGTAAATCTAAAATGATATATTTCAGAAATAAAGTATTCAAATCAAGATTTTTTTCACAATATAATTTTATTTGATCATGGTCCATGCCTTATTTAAACCCAATCATCTCTTTCTTTTACCAGAAGTGATAGTTTAGTTTTTCCGGCTTCTCCTACCTATCATTCTTACCAGTGGGGGGTGGGAGAGCAGGGGGTGGAACATAATTTTCCTGTTGTCTATGTTAAGTCTTTTTTTTACCCAAAAGCTTATTTTTCATATGCTGATTCAGAGCAAAGTTATATACCTCCTAGAGATTTCTGACCTTTTGAACAACTAATAGAAAGATTAAATTAAATTTAATTTAAAACCATAAAATCACCAGAGAGAAAAGATGCTTTAAAATGAGTGTCATGAATATTTTGAAGTCATGTGACATACAGAACTCTGGATATGAACTGGATTTAACACATCCTCATAGGAGAGAAAACAGTTATTGATTAATAAACTTTGCTGAGATCATTTCTATAGGATTTCTAATAACTAGATAATGCCATGAAGAGAACAACAGGAGATTATGAGGAGTATGTCAGAATTTTTCCTGAACTAGTCTAACTACATGTCATTTTAAGATTTGAACCAATCAAAGAAAAGATGTCATATTTGTTATGGGAAAAATAATACTGAATTTACCTACATGTTCCACACATGTAGTCTTTTCAATGGGCAAGAGTTTCAGTTTCCAATGATCAATGCTATGACACCTTGATTTGGAAAATTCTAAGCCATAATCCTGGCAGCTGACTCCCTCTGTGAATTTGTTTACTAGTTGAATTTACTTAAAAATTGTCCAGTGGTTGGGCCTCTAGACATGTGTTTAGTAAGTAATATGAATATAAAATAAACACCAACTTTTACAAAAACAGCCAACACCTCAACGAACTGCAATGAGCCCTTCAGTATCTGTTTCCTGTTCAGGAGAGTGAGTGTTGGGCTGAGAGTCGGATAAGAATGGGAGATCTGAGGGTGACAATAATCCTGGACCCTGACCTGAGGCTGGTCAAACAGTGTAACAAAATCATAAGTTAAACGTATCTGGGTGTGTCTGACCTGTCTCCTTCAGAAAGGGGTTATAACCCAGGAACTAATGCATGATCTCAAACAAGGCAGCTGATGAATATAGAAAGAGCCACTTCTGGGCCACATAATTCAAGGATGTATGTATGTGTCCACTCCCAGCCTTATTCTACACTGGCATTTCCACTCACCCAAACCCCTACCTACACAAGGGTGCCCACTTCCTTCTATGCATCCATCTTCTCTTTTGGAACGTGGAATGCTCCCCGACATGAAAAAAATCTCCGCCAGGAAGTTAAAAAATGTGCCTACATAAATCTTTTCTTTTGGAATGTGGATTAAGAATGGCTTTCATTGGAGTATTATACATTGAAAAGTCAATCTGCCTATCTTCCCCACAGTCTTGGAAACACAAATATTTTCATCTTCATCAGAAATCCCAAGCCTTCTGGGGGGTTGGGGGGTGGGGGGAGTACAGGGGAACCTGCTCTTCCTTCCAAGAAGAACAGGAGAGGAGCAAAGAAAAATGATACTTATTGTCAAGGTTCCCAGGTCAGCCAGCGAGCCGGCACCGGGCGCAGCTGCCCCTATTGGGCTGCCAGCAGCACAGCCCAGAGCTGGGTTACGCGCCAAAGAACAAGATGAGTTTTATGAACCATACTTATTATTGGGGCCAAAAGCCAAAAAGAAGGAGGAGGAGAGGGGAAAAATCCACAATCCTCTTACTGTTTGATTATAGGGCTTTGCAAAGGAGCTAATTAGCACCTCTGCAAAGCCCCTGGAAAACACAAATGCTGGCTTTTCTCACAGTCTCTGAATTCTCAGGAGCCAGGCAGGAATGAAGGCACCAAGAAATAAACTCAGTGACCAGTTACAGGGCCTCTGGAGCGTCCCCAGGCCTGCAAATATGAGCAGAGTGGAGGGGAGTGCTGAAAGTGAGAGACAGGAGCCAATCTGAATTTCCTTAAACCCCAAGTACAATGCCCTTGTGCAGGATTTTATACCGTAGGAGAAACTAGCAGAGATAATCAGCATATCCCAGGGACATCAAGAAACAGCTTCTGATACACATTTCCTTCCCAGCTCACTGTCTCCCGTGATGCTGATATTCAAGTTACGGGTGAAATTTACTTGTGGGAAATCAGGGAAGAGGAAGCCAGTTGCCCCAAGTTCTTGATCTTAAACCGAGGTTGGGACTAAGGTCTGGAAAGGCAAGCACTTGACTTGATTCTCTCCTCCCTCTCCGCCATCCTTAAAAGCCAACAACACAATTTAATTCCTTAGTTGGGTGATTAGAGCCTCTTTCATGACATAAATAAATGAAGCTTATGGACATTTCATGATTCCTTCATAACAGTTTGAACACTAGCCTTACTGTGTAACTATGCCTACAAATATCAATCTGCCCAGGGACTGGGCTTCCAAATTATTGGCTTTTAATGAAACTGTATAGGATAGGCCTATTTCATTGGTTTCCTATTTTCAAATGGCACATCTTTGGAAGATTTATATATAGAATGCCATTAAAAATATTCTACCGTATAGTAGCAAAAATACACAAGGTAGCTTTGGTTTCCTAGAAATAGCTTGCAACAAGGAAAGTAGGGAAAATATAAGAGGCACAATAAAGAAATAAACTAGTCTATTACTAACACTGCAATTAATCATAGCCCACTAAACAAAAATCACAACAGTAGGGGAAATGATTTGGTAAAACAGCCAGTAAAATGTGGTTGTTGAACAATTAAGTTCTAAAGTCAGGTGTAATGAAAATACCGGAATTAACTACTGAGGTCATCAATACATGTAAGTTACTGCGTTAGAGCATTTTGCCTTTTTTCTTCTCTCCAGCTTCTCTCTTGTTTATGCTGTCAAGGCCTACGCAGCCATCAGACTTGTTCAGGCAAACTGACTGCAGAGATGGTGCCAAACAGCATTTAGTGAAACGTGTTAATAAAGTTCCTTGGAGTTTTGTCACATTTTTGCCAAATGCTTTTTATCTTAATTCCATAAGCTTTATTTTTAAATTGTCTCCATCATTAACACCACCTATAAAATATGAAGTCAACCTAGTGGCTTTATGAAATTAAGGTTTTTCATAATATCAAAAATCTCCATAGAGAGTCCAGGCAATCTGCTCTAAGAGAATGATTTCTTTTATAACTGTCCTGAAAATTAGTTGGGGAACTAGTCTCCCCAGGAAAAGAAAGAGGACAGATGTTACCAGAACACTGATCCTTGAATCTTAGGGATGACACAGATTTTATTTCCTGTACTCTTATTGGAAGACCATGGCCAGGAGCAAGTCCTGGAGTCATAATTCTGTCACTTCCAATCTCTGTACCTGAGAAAGTCCAACATCTTCCTCAGTCTGATTTTCTGTCCATGAAATAGGAATAAAAATGATTTTCCCTACCACTTGTTAGAAAAACCAAGTGAGATGATGCAGGTGACTATGAGACACATAAGGTATTGTTACAAATAATTTGCAAAGCACCAAAGGCCCAATGAATGCAGGCAACATTCCTCCAACAGAAGGTCCCACTGAAAATCAGGACATGGGGACACCAGTCTGAGCTTAGGAGTGGGTGATTCTCTGTATAATGATGAAACCTTTTTGAAAGGCCACACCTTGTTGACTAAGTGCTATCATCTAACAGGATTTAGCGGCCAGCAGCCTAAGAGCTCCCACTGTCCCTATTTATTTACAATTGCCTTCAGCTGACAAAGCTTCAACATGACTTCAGGGGAAGCATTTGCTATTGTTAATAATTGTCTGAACTCTTGGCATGTCCCATGGTTGACTTTTCTCCACTTCTGTCAATCATGACAGATAGCTTTTTTTAAATGAAACTTCAAAAGAGGACCTATTGCGGGGAGCAAGGCATTAGTAACTGTGAGCTCCCCGAAAAGGCCATGGCCAAGTCAGTGTCTTTCCATTCCACTGGTTTAATGTCTTCCAGGCAATGTCATGATTCCAAGGAAAAGAATCAAGGACATAGTTTTCACATCAGATTCTTGCCTTGGCCTATTGCTCCGTACAAGATGGAAATGGCCAAGAAATTCATGAAAGGGAATAAACAGGCTGTTCTAATACCCCTCTAACGCTATTCAGAAGTCAAAGATAATGATTTCTAAGTTATTGTCACAGATATACTAATTTTTTAAAAGTGGGGTTAGAGTTGGAAAAGAAGGAATATAAGCAGAGAGGACAAATTTTTTAGTAAATTGGGCCCGGGGAAGCAAAAGACAACTTTTACTTACATGTGCTGTAAGTTGCTGTTTTTCAAAAATGCTTTATGAGCCACAAATTTTAATCCTGAATCCACAATTGTCCTGTGAAAACATAATTACACACGTTAGAACTAATCGATGAAAGCCACCTAACTCTAATAGAATATTAAGAAGAAGTTCTGAGGTTAAGTACACAAGTCCTGAGTACTCACAGATTTTTCAGTCCCACGTAAGCTTCAACATCATCCTCATTGATGATTTCTAACCTTTTCTGATTTGCAATGTAACTGCAAAAAAAGCAGAGAGTGAAAACCATTGATTCAGAATGTAGACAGAACATAAAAGAATGGGTAATATCCATACAATCTTACCACAGTGCTCAAAGTGATCTTTCCCCACCCAACCTAACCCCACCATGTAAAAAAAAAAAAAAATGTAGCTAGGGGAGCAAAAGTGAGTGTGATTGAGAAGAAACCAGAATTGAGTAGGTGTCAAGGTCAATGACAGGTTCACCAGGCTTCATTTTTCTTAATTTTTATCACTCTTTCAACTAACAATCTTAGTTTCCCTCCCCTTTCACCCTGTGCATAGAGGTGAAAATAACTTGGAAATGCGTTCATTTCCAAGTCTCTCAAAGGCAGTTCACCCTTATGGCAACAGCCACAGGGATGCTGGCATCATCACAAGCAAGACAAATGACACCTTTCCTCACATTCCAAGAGAAGCAATCACTCCCTCCTTTTAGCTCCTAAAACACTGAAGCAGATTCCCTTCCCCTTTTCTCGCCCTCCCTCCCTTCCTCCCCACTTTCTCTTTTCCTGGCCCAGCATCCCTCTCTCTGCCTTTGTCAGTAACAATAACAATTTTTCCTTTCAGGAAACACATTTCACAAACCCCACATGGCCCTAGTGCAATCTCTGTAATAACCTTCCTCTACCTCCCAAAGCCTCAAATATAGAAATAAACTGGTGACTCTGGCTGGCCAGAGAATTTCATCCCTTCGATCATGATGATGGGCTTAGACTTGGTCATGTGACCTCAACTAGGCCAATGAGAATCCTTCCTAAAATTAAATAGGTGAATGCTTGTCCAGATAGAGTCAGTCTCTCTCGCTTTCTCTCTCTCTCTCTCTTTCTCTCGGGTGATAGCTGAAAGATTATACAGGATGGGGCTTCCATTTTTCTGCCATGAGGGGACTATCCAGGAGTAAATTCACACAGAGATGAGAGATAGGAGATACAAAAAAAAGATAGAAAACTGAAAATGCCACTTGAGCCTTTGAATCCAGCTATCTCTGAGGTCAGATGCCACTAAGTGAAGTTTGTTCTGAATTTCTGTCACCTATGACCAAGAATATAGACCCAGTAATACAAACACAAAGCTGTTAAAATTGCCTCCATGAAATTTCCTTGTGATAGTCAAGAACCTGTCTGTCCATTTTTCTTAGATCAAAACCTCTTTAAAGACAGTGGCTCCTGTTTTACAGTTCTTAATATACACCACCGCATCTACCAAAGTACCTTGCACAAGGTAGCTATTCAACAGATAAAGGATGGACTGGGAAAGACACACGTTTTATGGCCACAAACACAAATCCCTCAAAGTCAACACTATCCCCCGCAGGACACGGAGACTGAGGCAAGCAATATCCTCTGATAAGACATTAGGCAGACAAGTAGAATAAGTTATAATGCCCTCAAGACGTCTTCTGAAAATCACCCTGGGAACTCATTGTACTCAGAAAAGAAGACAAAAGCGTGACAATTCAAGGGAGCAAAGAATCCAATAACAAGAGAAAGCGGATGGAAGGATAGGCAGATGGATGGATGGATGGATGGATGGATGGATGGATGGATGGATAGCCTAATGGATGTATGGACAACCCTTAGAGCTCTAAAGTCACTATAGGAAGTTGTGCTATGATACATTTTTTTCTTCTTTTTCATTAAGATACATAACATATTCCAATTAAGACGCTGAAAACAAATATATAATCCTGCTGTTAACAACATGAGTTAAAATGGGAAAAAATTTAAAAATAACCAGTTGGAGAGAAGATGCAGCATCTATAGGTCCCTTCCACCTAATCCAAAAAATGAAACAAAAAATATTTATGGTAAGAGTTGGTGCACCCATTTCTAGAAAACAAAATTTTAGAAATAAAATAAGTAAATGCTCTGAGGGAATAAAATTACACCAAAGAGAAATAATTTTAAAAGGACCCACATAAACATTATCCCCATTATATAAAAATGCAACTTCCAAGGTAGAAATCCATCTTCTACTCAAAGATCTTGGTTCCCCCTGATACCCAGGGCCTGGCACTTAATACTAGTAGATGTCCAGAAAGGATTCATTCTCTTAGCTCTTTCTACTGCACACAGAAGGAAGCATTTTAAGACTCCAACCTAATGCTCAAAGAATAATTTTCAACATCAGGAGTTTTTATTAAATGCTTAAAATTATCACACATTAAATGTATTTTCCAAGATTTTCATTCCACTAACATTTTTAATAAAGATCACAGTGACCTCCTTCTAAATTATCTCCCAATAAGAGATGGATTCCAGGGAGCCCTAAATTTTAATGCTTTTTCCATGCAATCGTGGTAAAAGGGATAAATAGTGTTGGGTAAGCTTTCATTTGGGCTCACAGTCAAGATTTTCAGAGAAACCTATCCAATCCTTATAGCTGCCCTAGCATGGTGGCTGTCAGTGTTCTGAAAACCTCAACTCTCTTTGTCTGGACATCATTGTATCCTCCATGCTTATGACAGGGGCCCAACGCCAACAGGTCCTTAATCAACTGAGGCACAGAGCATTTATCTTTATGTTATTTATGCCCTTCATTTTATTATTATTACACTTTTCACCAGATTTGGGGAGGGGTTGTTATTAATCCTCGCCAGTGGATATTTTTTCCATTGACAGTTAGGGAGAGTGGAAGAGAGAGGGAAAGACAGAGAAAGAAACATTGATGTGAGAGAAACACATCCATCGGTTGCCTCCTGCACATGCCCTGACCAGAGCCCAAACCAGGGAGGAGCCTGCAACCAAGGTACATGCCCATGACCAGAACCAAACCTGGGACCCTTTGGTCTGCAAATTGACACTCTATCCAGCTAGGTAGGGCTTTTGTTTTGTTTTGTATTTTTGTTAAGTCTCACCCGAGGATATGTTTCTGTTGATTTTTTTTTTAATATATTTTATTGATTTTTTACAGAGAGAAAGGGAGAGAGATAGAGAGTTAGAAACATCGATGAGAGAGAAACATCGATCAGCTGCCTCCTGCACATCCCCCGCCGGAGATGTGCGCGCAACCCAGGTACATGCCCTTGACCGGAATCGAACCTGGGACCTTTCAGTCCGCAGGCCGACGCTCTATCCACTGAGCCAAACCGGTTTCGGCTGTTTCTGTTGATTTTTAGGGAGAGTGGAAGAGAGAGGAACAGAGAAAGAAACATCTATGTGAGAGAAACACATTGATTATACCAGATTTTTAATTCATAAACTCCCAAGTTATACTCGACAAAATACAGTGAACTAGCATAAATAAAAATGGAAGTCATACAAGAAAGAAAAGCAAGGGCAGAGACATCAACCGAGCTAGAAATTAGGTTTTAAAATGTGTATACTTGTTAGAAAAAAAGCCACAAGCTTATTTCTAGGTTTTCTAGTCACCAATGCCCAAGAAAAGAAGGAATGGGATATAAATTTGGTCAATGGTAAATTTATAGTGTTCATGAGATGAAACTAAGTCAGACATTAAGCAAAACATAACTGCTCTCGGATCTAAGACTAGACAGGCGATTTTGTGGAAAACCATCAAAAGAACCCTATAAAATTATGAAAAAATGGTCACTAGAGCATACTCTTCCACTGTGGAGACAGGAATCTCTTAGATAAATAATGATTTTTTTTTTCCTGTTCAAAATGGAAAAATCAACAGAACTATATTAAAAGGTCAGCAAGTGTCCTCTCAGATGCCAGGAATTCCCCTTCATAAGTTACCATCTGCTGAGGTGCCCACATGATAACTGCTGGTTATATGATCATGAAATCTACCCCTAAGAACTATCCTTCACTACCATTGAGCAATCACAGGACTAGAAAAGAAGTCAGTGAAATTAATAACAGACAATTGACGAAGGGGAAACTCCATGGCCAAGAAACATATTAAAAAAACTGCTCACACTATAAGGAATCTGAAATGCAAATTAAATAATGACATTCCTCTCACACTAGAATGACAAAATGTTTAAAGATTGGCAATATAAAACATTTCTAAGGATGTGAAGAATTTCTCTTACATTGTTGGAGGGAGAAGAAATTGGTATAACCACTTTGAAGAGCAATTTACCAGTATCCTAGAAAATTATAAATTGGCATACTTCATAGCCCGCTATTCCATTTCCAGGTATTCACCCAAGAGAAATTCTCACACATGCACACAAGGAGACATATACATGAATATTCACTATATTTACGGTCAGAATCAAAACTTGGGAACAACCCAAGTGTCCATCAATACAGAAACTACTCAGCCATTAAAAAAAAAAAAGATGAGACATTGTCGTTTGCGACAATATAGATGGATCTTGAAGGTATTATGCTAAGTGGAATAAATCAGACAGAAAAGGACAAGAACCTTATGACTTCACTCATATGTGGAATATAAAACAAAAAAGTAACAAAACAAACAAAGCCAGACTCACAGATACAGACAACAGAATGCTGGTTACCACACAGAGAGAGAAGTAGGGAGATGGTGAATTAGGTAAAGGGGGTCAGATGCACGGTAACAGAAGGAAATTGTATTTTGGGGGTGAGCATACAATAAAATATACAGATATCAAATTATAATGCACTCCTTGAATTTATATAATGGTATTAGCCAATTTTACTTTAATAAATTTAATTTTTTAAAAGCCCAGCTGCTGTTTGCTCAGTGTTTGAGCAGCAACCTATGAACCAGGAGGTCACAGTTTGATTCCCAGTCAGGGCACATGCCCAGGTTGCAGGCTCTATCTTCAGTGTGGGGTGTGCCAGAGGCAGCTGAACAATGATTCTCTCTCATCATTGATGTTTCTATCTACCTCTCCTCCTCCCTTCCTCTCTGAAATCTATAAAAATATATTTTAAAATAAATTAAAAATAAATGAATTTAAAAAACTGAAAAAAGTAAGATGTGTTAAATTCATAAGTTGAATTGAACCAGATCTTTATATTTGAGCATAAAGTAATCTTCATGTTAAATAAGGAAAAATGCATAATAATATATGCATATA